TATTAGTTTTTAAATTATAGGTAGATAAAATAGTTGCATTAAAATGATTGGCTAAGTTAAATAAACAAAATCAGACCTATTGTGATGTGGCTAAAGCAGAACCAGCTGGAAGCTAAATGAGATTAAGCTCTTCTTTAAGCCCTCAGCCTTCAAGCCATCTATTTTCTGTCCCATTTTTATTCCTCAGTAGTCTTTTAAACATTCATCTGTTTGTGTTCTGATCCAGATTATGGTAAATAATTCTGTGACTTATGTTTGGTATATGTTTCCTTATTCATCATTATTAGAAAACCATGTTTCATGGACTCCCTGGACTAAACATAGAGATGCCCACGGTGCTCTACCCAACTCTACTTCCTCAGTATGATGGGCGACCACTTGTCAAATTGCAGCAGTCAGAATCCAGTGCTTCTCGACCAGCTATGGTACATTTATGTCTGCTTAGATTTAAGTTGTGGATTGTTTTGAGTAACTTGCTATGCATGTTTTCTATGCGGGCATCATTACAGCTACAAAAGCTCACGAATTTGGTATCAATTAGGGCATTTAATGTAGTAAATTTAAATTTACCAAGATTGTTGAAGATGCCAGTTAAAGCATCTTGTGCTTCCAAGAGGTCTAAGCAGTGTAACAGCCACAAAAATGAGCATTTGCTGTATCTCCAAAGTCAAGCACCCTCATCCCCAAAAGGTTAAGAGCAAGGATCGGCTCACTCTTTCTATAAAGGGATGGCTGGTAAATACCTTTGGTCTTTGTCACAACTACCAACTCTGTCATCAGAGTACAAAAGCAGCCATAGAGTCACTGTGGAAATGCATGGGCATGGCGATCTAGTAAAACTTTATTTACAGAAACAGGCTATGGGCTGGGCTGGATTTGGCCTTAGAGTCATCTTTACATTCACCAGATTTCCCAGCCTTTCAGACAGCTGCCATCTCCCTCATGTTTCGATTAGAGAATCTGGAACATACAGATGTGTTCATATAGATGTATAAATTTCATATTCAGAAATCTAATACCCAATTAAAAATGCTTAAAATTAAAAATTCTTTCAGTCCTAGCAGAATGATGTGATCAGATTTGCACCTTTGAAAAGCTACAATGGTAGCAAGTACTATAAGAAAGAATAAGTCTGATCCTTAGAAAGTAGTCTAAGAGAGAAGAGATGAGAATCTTCTTCCTCAGGGTGAGGGACTTTGAGCATACAGAGGAAGGGACAGATTTCAGAGATACTTGCAAATCAGAATGAAGTAGGGAAAACAAAGAAACTGGCTTTTACTTAATATCTATTCTGATGTCACCTCAGGGCCCCAGGATATATGTTATCTGAAATGGATTATGGTCCCATATGCATGCACTGGAGTGGTATTGCTGTGTATCTTA